TGCTATATCTTTTGATAGCTGGGCACCATCCACTCTCTTTACCACATTTGCTTATGCACCCATTTTGTCTTCAGCAATCGTGTTGGGAAGGTATCAGAGTACTAGGTTATTAGGACAAAGTGTTCTTGTGTTAAGGGAGGCCTTGAGGAGAGGCCCAAAGTCCATCTGCTATCTTAATACTTAACATATAGATATATGCACATCGGCCTCTATCCTTATAAATTAGTATATTGCATATATACATGCCCATAGCTATACCTCTGTAAATAGCTTTTGCCTCCTATTTCTTTCTGCTATTTCTTATCACCTTCCTCCTATCCCAGTATCATGCTTACCTTCCATTTGGCTCTCAGTAATTCCTCTCAGATACATTACGCTTGATTAAACCCCACCAGACATTATATGCCCTCCTCACCATCAATTGTACATCTCTTGTTGTTCCCTTATCCCTGAGTTGTTGACTCCCACCCCTCCTCCCTGCGCTCTCCTCTCCCATGTGCCCCCGGAACTACCAGTCCCCTTGTTTTCTCCTCGGGATCTGCCTACTTAGATAGACATAGTGCAAAAGAAAAAAATGACAGTTCCAGGTCTGTCTGCTGACCCTTATGTATGCTTTCTGATCAAGTCTGATGAGGTGCCAAGCCCTGTCCCCTAAGTCAGAAGTCTGTCTTCAGGATTCCTCTGGGACTTGGTTACTTTGCTCCCCTTGCTGCCCTGTTGCACTACCTTTATGTTTCACCCCACTGTGCAATGGACAGACCAGGCACACTTACCCACACAGTGTCTCCAATGCTGTCCCCATAGCACTATGAGTCAGTGAGGGAATGTCATGTCTCATGGTGGGGCAGACCCTATGGTCCTCTCTGTGCATTGGCTGCTCTGAGCAGGGATGTCATCCCTGGGACTTGGTGGGCCATGATAAGGCTCACTCTCTCGCTCTCATTCCCTCACTCTCTTTTCCTACCCCTCTCCCTCTTAGTTCACTCCTGTGTGGTCTGTACAGGCCCGCCTCTCTACCTGGGCTATATCTTCAGTGCTGTCCTCTATATTGGAAAGGGTCAACATAGTTAGGCTTGGGCCCGCCCCATCATCCTCTCCGTTAGTTAGATGCTCCAAGCCAGTGGATTGCCCTCAAGGCTAGGCACTTTGATCGGGTCTGGTCCCTCTCTCCTTTTCCTGTGGAGACATAAACAATACTCTCCCCGTGGGTGTATTAGTGCCCTGTTCCCCATCACCCTTGGGTTCCCCCTCCCCCTGCTTTTTTTCTTCCCCCTCTCTTTTCCACTCCTCTTTAGTTGCTTTCCATATTCATCTCTGAGTTGAGTCAGACCCCTGTCAAAGTGCCTGTACCTCGACCCAGGAGTTATGCATTAAGTAGCTTATCCTCTATGCCCAATGGAATTTTTGAGCTTACCTCAGTGGACTCATGTTATACTTGTCCCTTTGTGCTTGGATAACTTCGCTTAGCATAATTTCCTCCAACTATTCCCATGAGACAATGTACTTCATGTGTTCATCGCTGGTTTTAGGGCTGCACAGTACTCCGTTG